AACATTATCACAACATATTCCCTTATTTGGTTTATCAAGAAGACAATATGGTAGCTAATACTAAATGCATTGGCCAGCCCTCCTCAGGACTCAGGCCTAGTTTTCAATCGACTAAACTCCACAAGGGTGCGCTTGGATTTCTCTTCACTTCTTCTAAAAGAGGCATGGAGTCAGCCTGCTCTCAATGAATACAGCCTGGCCAGTGGTGACCCACTGTGGCGTGTCTGTGGCTTTGAGCACGACTAGTTGGCTTGAGCTCCTGGAAGAGATCCTTCTGATTTATATTGACTGTAACACTCATATTGCCAAGCAGGGTGTTCCCTCTCACCATGGAGATTAACAGCACTTCCTGACAGGTGCAGTGAAGGACATATTGCCTTGTCTGCACCATGCGGTCGCACCAATAGGGAGAGGTCTTCCACCAAACATGAAAAGAACCATCTCTGGGCAAAGTTTGTACATGCAGGACTCAAATCTGAGAGGTTAATATGAAAAGAAGTTGCATGGTCACAAAAAAAAAAAAAACTTTCTAACAACATCAGACATTACTTGCTGATACTGAAATGAAAATGTAAAGCTATGTTATTAAATACATTGTCACCTTGGAATAAAGGTTCTGTCTGCGTTCTGAATGATTTTGAGATATTGAGATCAAAAGTTTTTGCATTTCATTTAGCAAACAGTATGTGTAACATTTGTTTTTTTAAATAAAAATTCTTAAAATGTAGGTGACTTATAAAACCTCCCATGATGTCAATAAGTTGTAATTTGATAAGAATATGTCAATAACTCAATTTTGACAAAAATGTCAGATGAAACATTATATTTCTAAGGTGACGACATGTTTATGTTTCTGAAATAATTCACTTCATCTAACAAAGGTCAGATTTGCTTTATAAAATCAATAGAAAAAGTACTTGTGGGAAGAATTATTTCAGTTTGAAATAACTGCAAACATAAAGGCAAACATTTAAATGAAACTTAAATGAAACATTCATTTAAAGGTTTCAAAGCTCAATTATTAGCACCACTACTGCAGGCTTCAGGGTCATCTGACCTTTCAGAAATCATCCTAGAATGCCACTAATTGTTCTTATTATTCTAATAACTGAAACCCTCTTTTCTGCCTCATATTTTTATGAAAGCCATGATGCCCTTCACTTGTCATGTTCCTCTGATGAATAGGAAGTTCAAAGTAAAAGAATTGATTAATGTTTATTAGAAATAAAATCATTTGTAACATTAGAAATGCAAACTTTAGAGCCACTTTTGCTTGATTAAATGGATCCTTTATTTTTAAAATACTTTAATGTGTGCATGTATTGTGCATGTGTGTGCATGTAAAACATCTGTAAAGTACTGTTTACAAAACAAATCAAATATCCATTAAAAATCCAGTAAAATTCTTACACACTGGGGTGACACGGTGGCGCAGTGGTTAGCATTGTGGCCTTACAGCAAGAAGGTTGCTGGTTTGAGTCCCGGCTGGGACAGTTGGCATCTCTGTGTGTAGTTTGCATGTTCTCCCCATGTTCGCCTGGGTTATACATTAATTAAATAAACTAAATTGGCCTTAGTGTATGAGTGTGAATAAGTGTGTATGGATGTTTTCCAGTACTGGGTTGCAGCTGGAAGGGCATCCGCCATGTAAAACATATGCTGGATAAGTTGGTGGTTTATTCTGCTGTGGTGACCCCAAATTAATAAAGGGACTATGCAGAAGGAAAATGAATAAACTTTTACACTGAACTGATCTGACTAAGCAAGTCTTATGGGCACTAAATCAACTAAATATATGCATATAAATGCTACTAGTGGTAACAACTCATTTCACAACTGACTGAAGACTCATTTTAATTCTCTTCACGATCTCCAGGCCTACATGAAGTCTATGGTTTTCCCATGTGAAACCAAGAAAGAAGAGAAGTGGTAAATAAGCAATCTCAAGAGAGAAGCACAAGCCCTCAGCATCCGGAGCCTCAGATTACCCTGTCAGCACTGAGACAGAGGCAACAAGGCCAAAACCAGACTGAGCGTCCACTTTCAAGCTCACCTGCTGTTTGGTCTAGCAATGAGCCATGAGACAGAAAAAGAGACGTACAAACAAAAAGACCACACTGAGGTCCTGTAGCAAAGCACAAGAGCAACTGTTAAATCTGGAGGTGATTCCCTAGATGCTAAGATGCTGACAGATGACAGATGGGCCACATCTCGATCCATTTGGTGCTTTTGTGTTGGTGATGACACATGCAGGAACTAAATGAGATGAAACAAGAAAAGCACTGCAGGTGCACCTTGTTAAAAACAAGACCCCAGATGCTTATCATAAACAGCAAACAGGTATGACACAACCGCACATAGGGAACGTGCATGGGTCTAACGTTTCTGCAGCCTTGTTTATCTCTGTGATTGGCAGCTTTGTGTTTAAATAGGGCAGTGGGCTGGGCTCCTGGCGTAGCGTTCTTATTTTTATTGCTCCCGCGAGTGCCAGAGAGGGGATCGGGTTAGCAGAAAGCTATTCCCAAACTTAGCCGTGACCCCCACGGCAACACTGGGTCCGTTTTCCCTCTGGCGACAGCCAGTCTCTTAGCGGAATGAAATAGTAGGCGGGGAGTAAGCTGATTTAGTCTTCCTGACACCTTTGTCTGTAGATGACAAGGAGGAGGAGAAGTGCCCTGGGCAAATCAACACCATTAACAGTGTCTGTGCCAAAATCCCTGTGGCCTGCTCTTGCATTGACCTACCAATGCTCTGGAAAAGGACTGTGTGTCCTCTACACCAACTGCATGGCTACAGCATCACAACTCAACCCCAAAATAACATGTGGACCAATCAGAGGTAGTTACTGGGGGATCTGCTCAGTATCAAAACATGTATGTTTTCTAACTAAACATCTTTCACGTTAACTCTGAAATTAGGCTAACCATCAAAGGACAGCATGCATACTTTCAATATGAACAAATTCAGCCTTGTTGTTCAACACAACACAACAACTCTCTAGGATTTGGTGTCATGGGGAAGCAAAAATGAGCTAGATTATCTGACACACATCTACAAAACCTAATTTACCTTCTTTTAGGACAATTTTCTACACTTGCTTAAGGGTGTGTACGTGTGTGTTCGTGCACAAGTATGCGACTCATCCAACCATAAGGACTCTTAGTTATGCAGTGAGCAGGTACAGAAATAGGACTGGAGGAGGAGTCCCATTATTAAGGGGGTTCCGCTCTTGACAGATGTCATGGCAACGTCATAAATAGCAGGCCCCGAGATAGAACCTCAGATGGTATTGATTTACAAAGCCAGAAAAATAAACAAGTGAGGATTTACCAATGAGAGAAAAGATGAAGAGGGTGAGAGAGAGGTAGAACAGAGGACACATAAAGAGCAAGGGTTAAATGTGACAGGATGACTGACATTGGATATAAACAGCTTGACAACACTTTAGAGTGCTAAAAGTTACTAATAGATTGGTCATGAAACACTAATATGCATTCCTAAGACTTGCACTAAATGATTATTTGCATATTTTGAAGAATAAAGTGTTGTTTTGCAATTGTATGCCATTTTTTTAACTTTTAAAAAAATTGGTACCACTTTATTTTGATGGTCCATTTGAGTATTAGTAGACTGTCTGCTTAATATCTGTCGATACTGCTCCTTTAACATACATTTAACTGACTATAAGAAACTTTGCAAGTACATGTCCACTTACACTAATCCTAACTCTAACCCCAACCTAATGAGGATAAGTTGCCATGTAGATGCAATGTAACTTAAATTCAACAAACGGGCCATCAAAATAAAGTGTGACCAAAAGTTGTAACAAAAACTGATCTGTGTTGAAATGAATGGCCTATTAAGAAAAAAGAATGAGCCATTACATAAACAAGTACATCCAGTACATACCAGAGTCTCACCCGAAACCTATGAACTAGAGAATGACAAACTGTCCTTTCTTCTCCCCAGCATGATGGATGTGCAGAAAAACGGACTAAAGGTGGCAGCCAGATCCAGAAGACATATGATACTGACCACACAGTTAACTGCAGTGAGCTTCTCTGCAATGTTATCTCTCTTAGGCATAATGGTTTTAGGCTCATACACTATATGAATATAGCTTGGACAGCAATGGACTCCTGGGAAATCATCAAGTAAAATACAATAACAATGTAATGAATATGGAAGAAATTACTGTAATGGTGGCAAAAATAGACCTATAAAATACAAAAAAAAATGTATTTAAATTCTTTTACAGAAAGCCTTTTTCCCCATTCATGAACATATTACAGTATTGTATTTAGAAAAATTGATATGATGGTTACTGCTTATGAAGGTTAGAATTTTGTGATTCAACTAATGGTAAAATAGATTTTCCACTTCCATTATGCCTAAGCTATACACAGTTCTGCTCATTTGTTATATAATAAAAATATCATGGGATAAGAGCATTTTTGTATAACTTAAATGATTTTACAGAAGCAAGATTTCCATATATTTCAAAAGACAAAATAACAACTGAATTTTCCCAAGTTATCATGTGAAACTTTACCTGTCCTTTGTTCTTAATATTAAGTTTGCCTTCTTGAGCATCGGTGCCTGTTTGCAGGATTTTTCCTACAGTTGTGTATGAATCCCTGTATCCACTAAAGCTGCTTACAGTTCTTAAAAATCCTACATGTATTGCGAGTTATTTTGTTTCTTAGGATGATCTGCATTTGACTTCATCTCTATAGTAACTAAATGATATTTTTTATCCAGCTTTGCCACTAAGGACATATTCACAAACAGTTGTAAACAGCCACTGATGTCGAAGCAGAACACACCAAGGGTACACTCAATTTTAAACATGATTTTTAAAAGGTTATCTTATTTTTCTGTTTTATTTTACCATGTCACCTCTCTAGCTGTACACCAATAAATCACACATTGCACTGATTCTCCCAGAGACATGTAAACAAGTAAAAAACATTGCATAGGTCTAGTTTAGTTGAACTCACCCTGATGACTTCAGGTGTCTGTTGAATGAGAAGAGTGGATCCTGTGTCCCTCAAAGTAGAAGCAGGGATTTGTATGGCAGTAGGTGTATTTGAAAGTGTTGATGCAGGTTTACATTGTGGTGTTTGTGGAGGGCTAGGTGCAGTCTCAGATTCAGGAAGGGGGAGTGGGGTAACTTCTGCTTTGGTGCTGGCCAATGTTTCCTGGAGAAGACGCATGACTTCTCGCTCCTTAGTTTGAGTTCCTCTCCCGGCTCCACTCTCCACCAGCTCCTGAGCAAAGCTTTCAATGCTCTCCAGAATCCTGAGCAGAAGAGCTCCATCATCCTCTTCAGTAGACTCAACCCCTGGCTCTGGTGGCTTGGCCACCGAGGGTCCAGAGAAACCTACAACAGGTAGATCCTTAACCACAGAGTTACCAATCAAATGCTGGGGGGAACTTGTCTGTAGGGCACAATTTTTAAGCTTAGGAGGCAATGGAGGTTCCTTTTGCATGTTCTGGGAAAGACACTCCAGGTCCATCAGGAGTTTATCAATATCATCGGCTCCCCCTTTACTCGTGTGTGAGGTGGACCTTGAGAACAGTTTAGAATCTGTGCTTTTTGGCAGGTACATCTGGTTGACAGTAGAGTCATTTTGCGGCTTGAATGTGGTTCCGTTTCTGCTAAGCTCATGTAGTTTATCCGAAACACCACCACTAGGCTCTGAGTAGCCAGTAGTTCTTTTGGAGTATTGTCTGGACTCCGAAAGATTACAGCTGTGCTTCCCATCCCCTTTAACTGGCCTGTCCGGCATCCTTCCTATATCTGAATCTTCTTCCTCAATGTACAGAGCCTCCATTGGATCCTTACAAAGGTTTTCATTACTGATAGACAAGAAAGAATTTGCAGAAGAAAATGTGTCTGGTCGGCTGGTTGAAACTGTATGCTGGCAGATAAATGGTGTTGAACTGCTACTGGAGGCTGTAGGCAAGCTGCCATGGGAGAACCCATTAGTTGATGGAGGTGTTCGTGCTGACAAACCAGGGACACTCTGAATAGGTTTCAAACTGCCTGTAAGTTCCCTAGAACCCTCTGAAGGTTCTGGCTGGGAGGGTTTATTTCGAGGCTTCGTAGGTGGAGGAGACTGAACAACGTCCTCATATCGTGGAGGTTGTTCATTGCCAAAGATAGGCGAGAAGGGGATTTGTTGTAGTCCGTGTATACTATTGACTAGTTCAGCAAGCTCACTGTGCTCCTGCCTTATACTTTGTCCCTGTTCCAGCTCAAGAGGAAGTCTCTTTAGGTAGTTGGAGAGTCGGGCCATCACATTTTTATAAATGATTTCAGGATTCCCTGAGTCATCACTAGTTCCACCCATTGACTTTCTTTTGATGCACTGTTTGATGATGTCTGTGCACTTCTTCAGATCTTCTGAGCACTTGAGCAGAATGTCAAGACAGGCTTTTATGTCTTCTCCTGAGGCACTGCTGTCTGCCTTGGTCTTCTCCAGAATGCGGGTTATTAGGTTTTCCTCTGTGAGGCTGTTCAGGTAGAGTGTGGCCACATTGTTTAGGTTCTGCTCCAGGGATGCGCTGCGACTTAGCTTATGCTCTTCCAGTACAGACTTCTGAAAGAGGCCAAATGGAGGACAATTTTCATCATTGCCTGTGAACTGGCCATATATGATATCTAGATCTGTAGACCTCCTGCTGAAAGAGTCAGGCCGAACCTTGCGGCCCTTTCTGAATGTCACATGGCTGGAGGAGTACTTGATCTTCTCAAATGAAAACTCCTTGATTTTCCCACTGGCCAGGTTGATAGCCTCCCCTGTAATATCTTTGAGGCTTGCTGAGCTTTGGATGGCTGATCCTTTCTTGACTCTGGGAATTACCTGGTGGTAGTCATCACAGAAGGCAACAGGCCCAGTGTTGCCATTCTCTATAGTTTTAGACTCATGAAGGTTTATGGGCCTTTCAGAGCAGGTTCTGGATATAGACGTATCGAGAAGTTCAGCACAAGTACTGCGGTGAGCAACTGTGCAGTTCAGTCCATGTTTTAGCGCACCACAGGGTCCATTACAATAGTGCACAGTGTGCTGGACACGACGGTCAATAACAACGCTGTTGTAACAGTTTATGCTGCTAACCACAATGCGATAAGTAGCCGCCATGGTCTTTGTTCATTCATAAATCAAAAAGTCAATTTTGTGATATTTCACTAGTCACTTAAAAAATATAAATAAAACGGAGACACCTTCATATAAAATGTGATAGTTTATCAATCCTAAAAATCCTTAAAGATTTTGCCTTTCTTAGCCTCAACTGCTGCTTCAGCTGATTCCAAAAGGGAAAAAGGGATTATCAAACCAATCCTTTACCGGTGCCCCATAGTTAAAGGGAAGTTGCACTGTAACATTTAACAGGAAAAACTATCCATTCCTTAGCATGGGCCCCAATGGCCTAATGATAGGCCTGTGTGTAGCGCACCAGATCATCCCCACTGTGAACAGCCAAGGCCTTTGGGCATGAATAAGTCCTCTCCAAAGCCACAGTATATAGCCCACCTGGTGACAGCCTTCCGCTGATGTGTTCAGCAGATGTTGAACCCTTTCCCTCTGCTTTATCCTGCTTTACCAGTCAGAATAAGATGTTTAAGATTCCAATGTGAAAGCCACCTGTGAGTAAAAAAGACAAAAGTGGGTTGGGGAGAGAAAAGGTACTTATTTAGATGTGTTGAAATACAGATAATCTCTCTGACACTGACATTCAGATTATTCAGATAGTCTTTAACATTGTACAAAAGCAATGATGGAAGGGTCTTTCTGCCATAAAATGACTTGTACTATAATAGTTAAACAGTATTACATAATACACGTTTGTGCATCTGACAGTTGCTTTTATCCCCACTGACTTCCATTCAAGCTATAGAGAAAAATGTTGTGCTTTCCCTGGCAATCAAATCCATGCACATGGCATTACAAGGCACCATACTCTACTGTTTGATATAGAATTGATATGGATTGGTACGTGTTTGGCTGAACAACACAACAGCGATAATAACACCAAAAACAACAACAAGAAACAGTTAATTGAAAGGTTTGTACCATCACTGTACAGTACTGAAAGCACAAGTGAGACATACAGTAACTTGAAAATTACGTTTATTGTCTTTGGTAAATTTGTTTAACACATCTCTCCATTAGTTTAATAGCATATTACTTTCAGCTTCTCTTTGGTGCTGCTAAACCACATGAAAAGCTATGATAAAAAGCATAAAGCTTAGGGAAAAAAAGTCTACCACCCAGCAGTAAACCACAAACTACAACTTTCAAACAAATACCAACCAAAAAATAAAATGAAGTGCTGTAATTCCTAATGGTGGCATGTGTTTATAAAAAATACCTAAGCCTCAGGCATCTTAGGTCTCCTGTGTTATCAAATGTAGTCCTTAAGCCATCTTCAAAGAGTCCCACATCAGTGGAAGCTGTTAAAGAGCTTGTGATGAAAGTACACAGACACTCCATTAGCATTCTTTGACAACACAGCGCACCGTGCCTCTCTTGCCTATAAAGCGAGTTTACTCAAGAGAGAGCCGTTCAAATACAAAAATGCTATAATTGAACAGTTCTACCCTATACTCTGGATTTAATACTGAATAAAGAAGCAATCTTTCATGTATTGCTTCATTTTTATAGTTTGTTATTGGAGATTAATAGCACCTTTCCTTTTACACAAACATTTAGTCTCATTGTACATACACAGTGCTTAGCGTACATATAATTACACCCCTCACAAATCTATCTTTTAAATTCATATTTTTAATAGGAAGCTATACAATATTTTATTGTGCATATACATTAGATTAGTCAGTACTAAAGCCAAATCTGGAGCTTATCTAAAAAAAAACCCACAATAACAGTCCAAAAACTAGCACACCAAAATTTATATTCATTCATTCATTAACTCATTTTCTTGTCATCTTTTTTGCCTTATTAATCAGGGGTAGCCACAGCGGAATGAACCGCCAACTTGTATTACATACATATGTTTTATGCAGCAGATACCCTTCCAGCTGCAATACAACACGGGGAAACCCAAATTTATATGTTATAGAAAAATATTAAATACAGATTTTAAAAAGAGGAAAAATCAAGAGAACCAAAAAATGGAAAAACTTTAAACTTTAATTATATTTTCTTTCAGTTTCTAAATATGTTTTGTGACTAAAATTTTATTTTAATAAATATATCTGTTTAATAAATCAGTTTTGTTTAAATGCACCAAATACATTGCCTATATTTACTAAGAAACTGATAAAAATATTCATTTTCAAAATGGGGTGTACTTAATTATGCTGAGCACTGTATAGTATTAGATTTCTCACTCTGATGCAAGATATTAATAATAATAATAATAATAGTAATAATAATTCCTCACGTTTATATAGCACTTTTCTGGACACTTAATGCGTTTTACACATTTTTAGGAGAGGGATCTTGTCATCCACCACCAGAGTGCAGAATTCACCTGGATGACGCAACAGCAGCCATATTACGCCAGACCGCACACCAGAAGAACACCTAGCTGATTGGTGGAGAGGAGAGTGATGAAGCCAATTATTATATGGGGATGGTTGGGAGGCCATAATAGACAAAGGCCAGTGGGCAAATTTGACCCCTCAAAGGACATCCTGGGATTTATAACAACCACAGAAAGTCTGGACCTCGGTCAAATAACCAACATTTTTCAAAATGGATATATCTCGTTTTGCAACAAAACTCTTCACTTACAAATAACTTTTTCAGTAGATTTAGTGTACTGCCTCTCACAAGTGTATCCCCAGTTATTTTGTGTGATTAATATATTTTAAATAAACTGCAAACCAAAAAGTATAAAAACTTTACTTTGATTCTTACTTGAAACTCTTCCCTCTTAGTCACATACCTGTCTGATGGCTCATTATGCAGCTCATTATGCAGGTCTTTGTTATCTCAGGTGTGACTCACTACATAGTAATGATAGTTCACGCCTTCACGCATAGACCAATTTCATTCAAAAAGTGACTTAGAAAGTTTAATTCATTATATTGTTTTCTGTGAGCAAGTAAACAAGATGATTCTCACATCATGTTGAAGCAAAAACACTAGGCTACAAGATCCAGTTCTCAAAAGTCTAGAGCACAAATGTTCTCTGTGTGTTTCATGGCCTTGTTTCAATATATATCAATATACTGGGGCGTTAGGACCCACACAGGTTAAGCACCCCCTGCTGGTCTCACTAACACCACTTCCAACAGTAACCTAGTTTTCCCATGTGTTCTCCCATCCAGGTAATGACCAGGTGCAGCCCTGCTTAGCTTCAGTGGATGACCATGTGAGATGCAGAGAGCTAGCTGCCGGTTGATGAAATCCATTAACATCAAAGATTCAGTTGAGACCATTTAAATTCACTTTGAGATCTGCATGTTTTCAATACATGCGTGTCGTTTCAGTCTCTATTGACCTACATTGTAAGACAAAAAAAGGGTAAAAACGTGTTTAACATAAGTTCCGATAATTTCCACAGAATTCTGTATGTCTGACATAACATTAGGGCTTATCAATTATGAACATTTTAATTTTTTTAGATGAACTACCCATTTGCCAGATTCAAATTCTGAAAATTTCTCTCCTAACATTACATCATGGATTTGGAGTGACAAGAATAAATAATCTCTTTATGTCTCTACTGCTCTCTCTCTCTCTCTCTCTCTCTCTCTCTCTCTCTCTCTCTAATGACAATTAAGTCAACAGATGAGTCATTGTGAGACATATTTATTTTAATTCACATGTATGGGAATGAGCTCATTATGTGAATGTCTCAACTGAAAAACGTTCTCCACAGTCAGCAGCATGCTCCTTTATTCTCTTATTCATTTTCTCTCAGCTTTTTTGTTTTTCTTCCATTTTTCTTCCTCTCACAGCAGGCCTCATTAAAGCCTTGTCTTCTCTGTCTCCGCAGAGAATGAGCCTCCAGGATTTCCACCACAACCTCACCTCATATAAACTCCGACTACGGCCACGCACGACAGCATTCAAAGCTGTATGATCTGCATTCACAATATAGCTTCGCAAACGCCTTACACTGGTTCCTCACAATATCAGAACAATGATCTCTGATTAATGTTTTTCAGCATGGATTCATTATAGATGGTGGTGGCACCAGAAAAAAAAAAACATTCAGAGAGTAAGATTTACAGGGACAACCCACACCCTCCATATTCAGCAAGGAGACAATGTTTACAATGGATTGGTCCTGCTTGCCCAGACAGTAACACTAAAAGCTGATGTTGTCTGTGAGAAACTCTGTGGACAATGAGTCGCAAACTTTTACAACAAGACAAAGAGGTACAGAGTATTGCATGATTAAACAGCACTGTGGGCCATTTCTAGGGTTCATGAAACTTGAATAGTTTTCACTTTTCAGTACTATACATTGCTCTGAGAGACAAATACATTTCCTAAATGTCTATTTTCTGCCATAAGAATGCCTCGGTATGAAATTCAAGCACTACTAAATACCGCAAAAGTTCATATTAGGCTAAATTTATTAATTATTTCTGTTATTCTGATGGGTGTTCAGATTTGTTTATAGAGTAACATTGAGCTCTACATCAGTGTATGATGGGAATTATTAGCAACTTTATTACATTCAATCCAAAACGTCAGCAATCAATATACAGTAGATTCACAGCACTCTGGAGTTTGAGTCCTCTATTTCGTAATGTTGTATATATTGAATACTGGAAATTTGAGAAGTCTTCCAGATTAAGTGAAGTTTATTTATAAACTAATTTCGAGAGGATCACATGCTTATGATTGCTTGCAGTCGGCCCCGCATTATCCAATTTATGATTCACCAATCAGACAATTCCTAAGCCATTATAAATACCCTAAGTTCCATATGACAGCCATCTTCATTTTGAAGAATCCCCCCTTCCACCCCTACTTATCCTCCTTTCCTAGATGGATGGCCCAGTGGTTAGCACTGTTGCCTCACAGCAAGAACGTCACTGGTTCTAGTCCTTAACAAGCCAGCTAACGTTTCTGTGCAGAGTTTACACGTTCTCCCCATGCTCATGTGGGTTTCCCACTTGTTCCCTTGTTTTTGAACGGTTTCCTCCTACCGTCCAAAAACATGCAACTTAAGTTAATTGACTAATCCAAATCAGCACCATAGACATGTTCCCAGTAAGTAGTTATCTCTTCAGAGCAATCACTATCTGTTCGTTAGCTACTACAGCATGGGAGTTCTCGAGATCTCCATGAGCTTAAACTCCCCTCTCGCCTTGCAAACGGGAGTAAGCCCATGGCTTGAGGATCTTATGAGCTCAGGGCTCTCTCCCAGGACAGCATGCCAAACAAGCTTTATAATCAATCATCAGCTAAGTGTACATGTAAAAATGATCTTATATTGAACATTAGGATCCAGCTTCCAAAATATGCAATTGTATAAGCACCATTTTGTACTTGATAATTTAACAAATGTACTTTCCCTCTATGATATCTATTTAGCCTGTCATCACAATGTTCAGGAGCTTTCAGCGAGGCCGTGCATAATGTTCAGTTTCTTGCACAGACCAATCGTTTTTCCTTATGAAACTTTAATTTATCTTCAGGGGACACTGTTATTATTT